CAGGGGCCTGCTGCATAGGGAGCTGCTGGTGGGGAAAGGAAGGAAGCTAGTACCAGAAAACAAGGGTACAAATGTGGATTTAGGTCTAACTCTAAAAACTGACCTAAACAGTACATTAAAGAGTCTGGAATTTATTCTGTGGGCAGAAGAGAACCGTTAGGTTTTTAGCATGGGAATGACATGGTGCACCTGCGTTTTTGTGAGATCACTGTGATGACAGCGTGGAGAATGTTGTCCTGGTGGGCCGGAAAGCAGAGAGACCAGTTGAGGGGCCGACACCACAGAAAGGTGGAAGAAGATGAGGGCTTGGACTGAAGCGGAGAACAGAGGGAATAGAGCAGGTACACATTCAAGAAATATTTGGGGGTCTGAATCAACACATTTTGATGACTGATTACATATGAGAACCGAGGAAGAAGGAAGAATCAAGGATGACGACTCCAAGCCCCTAGGCTGCTTGCCTGAGGTGGGGGAGTCAGGGGGAGAGGCAGTTCAGGACAGGGGGAAGTTGAAGAATACTGTTTTGAACATGTTCAGTTTGAGGTACATATTGGACATTTAGGCAGAGACTGGAGGGGAAACCTGTAAATATAATTATGGGACAGAGGAAGAAGTTTGATTGTAATTCCAAGTCATCAGCACTTAGAAGACAGCCGTGGAAGAGTGCCTTGTACACTAATGAGGGCTTGGGGTTCTTGCTGAGCTTCTCTCAGTTGGTCTTAAATATAAGCAGGAATGGAGTTCGTGGTGGCTTCCAAGCTCAGTGGGTCTCAGGCATCCAGCAAAGGAAGCCAGAGCATCTTCTCTGGTTTAGCCCAAGTAATTACAAATTTAGAAAAAGCTGAAGGAAAACCCAGAGTGGCCAGATGATGAGCTGTACTCCTGCATTTCCTCTCCCTCCTCTCACCCACAGCCTCCTGATGAACAAGAGGAAGTTTCTTTATCACTTCAAAAACGTCCGCTGGGCTAAGGGTCGGCATGAGACCTACCTGTGCTATGTGGTGAAGAGGCGGGATAGTGCCACTTCCTTTTCGCTGGACTTTGGTCACCTGCGCAACAAGGTATCAGTGAGTTTGCTTCCCAAGCAGTTGAAAGCTAACGCAGGGGTGCTTCTACAGCCACCTGCTGGTGGTACTGCTTTCAGCCTGTTTTGCATTTTTGTTTCCACTTTACTCTTCAAATCCTTTTTTTTCTCCCTTTTTCCACGTCCATGCACCCATATTAGACATGGCCCAAAGGATGTCATTTAATGTCCTCCCCAATCATGCTGGGCACCCTAATGCTCAGCCTTCCTTCGATGCCAAGAACAACCGCCCCCAATCTTTCCTCCCCTTTCTCCAGCATCTGAATTGCCTTTGAGGTTAATTAAGGTAAGAACATTTTGATTTGGGGAAATCTTATCAGCTCATTCAAACAAAATTTCAATTGTGAAAAACAAATTGTGTCTTTAGAATTTTTGAAAATTAAGGAAGAAGAATTTAGGGAAAATTAACAGAGACTCAATTCTGTTTTCCCAATGATTTCTCTTCCCTCCTACACATAGATCAGAGGCCAGTGAATGCATTCACCATGGTGACCCCCAGAAACTCAGAGAAGTCATGGCTGATTGATCAATTAAATCGATCTTTCAGCTGCCAGAGAGAATTACATTTCCAAGAAGCTTCTTCACCAAAATCCAGATGGGCTTACATAAGCTCCTGCCTGTGGACATCTCCTGACATGCTGTGACATCTAGTCTTAGTGGATTCCCAAGGAAGAATCTGTGGGGTGGAATGTCATCATTTGGATCACTGCTTGCTGGCTATTTTACGAAGCAATTTTCTTTGCCTGCATTTGTACTGAGTAATTTACCTCATCACTATTATTTTACATTCCAATCTCTTTCATATTTGGTAGCATGATACATTCTATTTATAGAAGGCTTTGATTTTACCAAGCACTTTCACTTATCTCTCATTTAATGCTCACACCAACAGACCATTTTACAGATGAGGAAGTAGAAGAATCAAGAGCTGGGTGACTTGTCTAAGTCACAGGAGTAGTGGAGCCTAGGTCTTCATATCCTGGGACTAGTGACTTTTCTGCGATACTAAGTGTACCTGTTATATCTCACTATTGCAATTATTATTACAATCACAGAGATCATATAACGAGCAAACACATTATTTAATTGCTCTTAGCTCATCGCAGTGCCTATTTTCTTACAGCATCCGCCCGTCTGCCTCATCATAATCTATTTTCCCTCTTCAAATCCTCCCAACGTGTCCTCTCAAATTGTACCACCTCCACCTAGTGGTCCGGGGGGATTTCCACAACAGGAACTTTCAAGTTATTTTCCTTCTCCTACAAAGGTGCTAAAGAGTAACTAACTTCACAAACACAAATCTCTACCGAGGTAGTGCGATGCTACTCCGTCCCAGCTCAACTCACTTCATCCTCTTCATTGTACAGAAAATTCCGTAGCCTTTCTTCACTCCGCAGGAGGAGCGCTACAAAGGGTTTTGCCTCCCCACTCACTGGGGTGCTCTTTTGAGCCAGTCACTTAGCCTCTCTGTTAACACCAGGACCGTAACTGCAAGCCCCCCAAAAGGGAGTGACTGCAAAGCCACCAGAACAGCAATAAAGCACAATGAACGTCATCTGAGCCGTCTGCTCTCTCCCCAGTCGGGCTGCCACGTGGAATTGCTCTTCCTCCGCTACATCTCGGACTGGGACCTGGACCCCGGCCGCTGCTACCGCGTCACCTGGTTCACCTCCTGGAGCCCCTGCTACGACTGTGCCCGACACGT